TGAACTTGGCCACCGCATACAGTATTGTAGCCTTAAGCGCAACCACACAACCAGCTGAAATGTTGGTTAGATGAGCATGGGGGGAGATGAAGAGGATCGGAATATGGACCATGCAGGCCCCAACAATTTCCTTAGCCGAATTCGGACAACTTTCCAGGAATGTTGAAGCGCCCTACAGAGAGCTCAGGTCTGACCGCTTGGGACAACTTGTAGCAGAGGTTGACAAGGGAAACTACGTGCTTTAGCTGCACAATGGGGCAACTACAAAGATCGGAGGGCCTAGATATTGGAAATTGGAACTCATTGGAAGCTCAAGAAACTGGTGATTCGGTGATTCAGGAGGTTTGCGGATCCTGCTTGTTCCACCGTTCTCTCATTCTTGCTATAAACAACATACAGTACCTCACACTGGTGACTTTGCTTGCATGCATTACAGTGCTTCGGGCAGAAAGATCTTTTGGAACTGCGAGATGCACACGGCTTTCCCCCCTCAGAACGTGTCCGACCTTCGTCATCATTTTTGCGTCTCCGACCTTCGCGTGACGAACCGAGGACGAACGGGATGACTTCGCAAGCCGATTCGAGACACCGTCACACCCAGGTGCTGGCGCTGAAGCCGAAGGCCGAAGCGCCCTTCTTGGTGACCCTGGCTGCCGCCTATGAGACCCGGCAGCTTGGAGAGCATCGAGTGTCCGGGCGTGCCCGGGTGTCGTTGATTGCGACTTGCCATCTCAGGGTTTCCAAAGCCTGAGCAATAGAATGCCAAGAAGCACAGGCTCCAGCCAGCTGCTGGCACGTCCAGACAATGCCTGTTTGGAAATGCACAACAACCTGGCAACAGTTGCAGTAGTATAGATTGCTCGTAGCTGGCAATGGACTTGACACTGAGCAACTACACCATGTTGAAACAGACCTTAAGGCAAATGTAATATGGTTTTGCATAGCCTCCTTATTTGCATGCTGCATTTCGTGTGCAAAGGCTGAGCAGCCAACCAATCACCGATTTGATGATGATGATGATGATGATGGTGATGATGATGATGATGATGAAGATCATGAAGATCATGAAGATCATGAAGATCATGATCATGACCATGATCTCTTCGAGAGGAGGTACTCATGCCACCGATTCATGCACAACTGTGGGACCTGGCATTTTAGAAACTCGTGGTCCCACCTCAGATATAAAACATTTGTAGATTGCCCGCACCTGGTGTTCATAGAGTGTAGTGAACTGCCAACACAGGTATATATAACTATAACCACTTTGTAGTAGGAATGCAAGGACTGTTTGATACTGTTTGTATCACCCTAGCTTTTGGAGACACAAGCAAGATGTTTGCTTGGCAAAAGATCTGGACCCAGGCTTAGGGCTGATCTTGGACTTGCAGATAACAGGCAGTCCGTTGGGGTTTGCATTGATGGGGATTTGTCTCAGTCAGCAGACACTTCCCTTGATTTGTGTGCAGCTCCAAGAGTCTGAAGAATGAAAAGAGGACTTAGATGTAGAGTGAATGTGGTGAAGCGGGAGATCTTAGCAGAGGCTTAATGTTCCAGGAAGAAACATGCTGTTGTTTTCTTGTTGCACTTTGCGTTGCTATCTTTATGTGCTTGATGAAGAACTTGGATATTGATATGAACGGACATTTCAGCTATGGACCTGTGCTCGTAAATGGTCTCCTGACAGTATTGGCGGCAGTATCCCAAAAGTGAGACCTCTTCTTCCAAGCCGACCGGTAGACTGAGGGTGATGCATCACATCTTTGCGGTGGACACAGATCCAACACCACCAAGGGAAGACAGACCAGCCCGTTCGTAGCGTCCTTTGCTCCTAGTAGCGATGCCCTTTGTTATATACTAGCTACTAGTAGCTTCTTGTTCCTTGTATCGATGCCAGGAGCCCCTAGAAGACAGACATGTTCATACTCATTTTTCGGAGACCAGAATCAGATGTATGAATAGATCCAGGTGCTACACGTTGGTGACGTCCTTCCTTTACGTCGCTCGCTCGTACTGATGCACCAGGCCGTGTGCCGATGCGCCAGACTTGGCCAAAGGTGTGGACTTCTCCGCTGCTTCGTGGGGTCTCAGAGGAAAGCTTCGTGTAGTCTCACGAAGTCTTGGGCAAGTCTTCAGGCTTTGCAAGATTGGGCAAAAACATGGACCTACAGTCTACTGCTCGAGGTGAATGACATCCCTCAAGGGGTTTCATTTCCACTTCTTTCCAAGAACTGTCCAGACTTGGGGTTCGTACCTCCCAGGTGGACTATTGGGCCAAGCTTTTTGAGGCTGGGAGATCTTGTGGACAAAGCTATCGGAGTCAGTTTAGAGGAAGACAACGGTCACAAAGCCTTCTTTTCCCAACATAAAATGATCACTGGAACAATGATGGACACACGGGTTGCCACCAAGAGAGTTTGCTTCGCTTGCGCTCGTGTTGATCATGAGATTCGGAGGTTTCGCGACGACACTCCGTGACCATGTCATCCACGGAAGATTCACTACTGTACCTGACCCTGACACTGTCCCCAGCAGCTTTACAGCTATTCTTTTGTGTTAGGATGGCCTCAAACTATGTGACTCAGCAAGGAACTCTGCTGAAGGCCTGTGGGCGAGGCTGCTTGTTTCCAGCCTTGAGGAACTAGGAACTGTTTACCTTTCTTTCCCAAGACAGGGTGCACACCCAGAGGGCGGACGGGTCATCCTCAACAGAAATCCAACTACGAGCTTTTCAACCACAACAGGTGCATTGACAAGCATCAGACCGATTGGGGGCCTGATTAGCTTGCCCCTTTTTGTCTTGGGTCTTCGATAGAGCTCTTAGTCACGTGTCGAAGAGGTCTCGGTAATTGCAGGTACCAATCTCTTTGGCCACGTCTTCCGTCCTCTATTTGGAGGCACGCGGTGTCCGCGTTCGCACACCACGTGGTGTGGCCAAGTTCTTGAGGGTCCGAGAAAGTGCAAGTGCTCCAAGTGTAGAATGGCAATTGGTGTAAGAACGGGGAGTGGTACGTGAAGAAATCCTGCACAAGTACGCCCCACAGCATACCTCCTGAAGGACACGATGACCAACACAAACTTCAAGGCCATCACTGGTTCTTGAGTTGGCCAAAGTTGACCATGGTCTTGCTCATGTTGCAAACGAAAGAGAATCAGAGCCTTTGTAAGTCTTTGTACTGTAATTAGTTTTCCAAAGCCTGTTTGTGACGTCTTGGTTGGAATCGTGTGTTTCCCTTCACCAGGCAAATGTGCAGTCCATATTATCAGCCCGAGTCACGTCGCACTTGGGTGGTCGATCTTCACCGATGTGAGCCACTCAAAGCCCATCCTGCCAATTCTGCTGATTCCCAACCCAATAGCGATGGCCTCCACCTACTAGCTTCTTTATCCGCTTTGCCATGCTTTGCCCAACTTACCCCCTCCAGAGAGGTTTGAACCAGTTTTTGCTGATGTGCTGAACCCCAGGGCCCAGTACTGTAATTTCATGTTTCCCAAGACCCGAACAAATCAACATGAAAGTGGAACAGGTCCGGACTCTTGCGCCACGGTGATCAAGAATCAAGAACGCAGTCGCAGGTGGGATCTGCTCTGCCCTTGGACCTGGTGCGGATTGCCTTGCAGGCCATCGACATCGGCCGCATTTCTGTGGAGGTTTGCCGGAGTGGTTCGAGAAAGACCGACTCGATCCTATTGACACTCACTGAGTTCTCCAGTCACTCGGTGAATCAATCTTCAGGCGTCCAGCAAAAGAATGTAAAAGGTTTTCCGGCGACACATGGTTGACCCTTGATCTTCCAACACGTCTGAAAGCAAGAACCAAGACCTTTTTTCGAGCAAAAAACGCCGCGGGCCTCCCAGCGAGCGGGTATCGCCCACGTTGTGGACGTCCAGGTGCCCGAAGGTCTTTGGGTGGGCGAACAGCGTGGCTTCCGGAACTCGTTGGAGATCGAGCTGCCGGCGGGCGCGTGCGCGGTGTGGGACCGAAGGGTCCGAAGGTCACGAGAAGTGATACGGTTGGCCTTTTTGGACTTGGAGTATCTTGGAGTCAATGTAAAGACATGTATAGTTATATTTATAAGTCAATGTAATGCTCACAATCTCCGAAATCCAATCGTTTTGTGATCGCCTTTGTTGGTAAATGCGGACCCAAGGAGACCCCCTTGTTTTGGGCTTTTGCCTCCAGCACGTGCAGCTTGTGAAGTGCCTCAATGTTTTTGGAGCGCCAGGTACACAATCGAAATCAACCAGCCAAAGCCATCTCACCTGGTTGTTTGACGCCCAGAACTTTAGAGCGGACAGGAACTATATAATACTATATATATATATGAATGTATGTATGTGAAGAGATTGAATCCAAGAAACTCACAACATCCCACAACTCCTCACCCGCAATCAGGCCTGTTTCCTCTTTCCACACAATCAGGCCTGCTTGCTTATCCACACCCACCGGACTTGCCCATCTTTGAGGATGACATCAAGCGGTGCCTCGACTTCAGCGTCTTCGTGCGGTGCATGCCAGTGAATCCTGTCAGGGACCAAGGGACTTGGTGCACGAGCGGTCCATTCACCGTGAACCGTGCTATCCTTTTGCCCGCACGGCTGCAGGGATGGGTGATTTGGGGTGGTCTCTTTGTGGAAGGATCAGTAAGGATCCATTACACGACTGAGGGTCAGTGGGCCTCAATAAGCAGCATGTGATTCTAGGCATCATCGTGAAGGCCTTCACTTTCAATACCTATGGATACCTATGGGAGTTTCATCCTAGCCATCCCAGTGGATCCACATCAAGATTTCACAATATCTGTCAGCCTTCTGAGAAGTTTGTTTTGTCTATTTGCAGGCCCTATCCGATCCTAATGCGGAGGCCGTGGATTTTTGTTCGAGCGATTCTGTTTCTTGATATGACAAGTTCACCTCGTTTTGAATCATTAGAGTAGTATCACAAAAATTTTCCTGCAACAAATCACTGTGCCACTTGGACTCATTTAGCTGATCTTTGCAGCTGTTCTTTTCCTCAACTCCTGGCGCCATGGCGTTCATCCGCACGCTGAAAGCGAGAGAGATTCTGGACTCCAGAGGCAACCCCACCATCGAGGCAGCGTACTGGAAGGGACAAGTGAATCGCAACGCAACCGAACCTCATTGCAGGGTGGCTTCAGGGCGGCAGTCAGACGCGGCACCATCGTTCTCGATCACCGATGCTCGCAATGTTGTCCCCTCCCAAAAGCACCCTAGTATTAGAGGTCAAAGACTCAAAGACCTTCGGAGACATAATTACCCATGCCACATGTAGTGACATTGATATGTGTTGGGCACCCGTGACAGGTGGACCTAGCGACAGACAAAGGCCTCTTTCGTGCTGCAGTCCCTTCAGGCGTCTTCGTCGCGGCGAGTCTTTCGTGCCTGTTCCTTTGCCTTGCCGGTGAACCAACGCAGTCAAGTCGATCAGCCGACTGGGCAGTTGGTCCATGCCAGGCGCTTCTACTGGCGTCTATGAAGCACTAGAGCTGCGGGACAAGGAACCCACCAGGCGACGGGGCCACGATTGGGTGGTTGACTTGAGATTTGTTGGATTTGTTTTTTTTTTCTAGGTTTCAAGATGTTTCAAGAAGCCTTCTTGACTTGGTTTCCAACTAGGCAGGATTTTGTTGGATTGCAAATACCGCTTGTTGATTTGTCGTGCGCAAGCCCGTTTGTACCATGATGAGAGTTTGTCATCAGTTCACGTCAATGTATGTATATATACTGTATAATATGTATATATATATATAAGTTTAAGTTCTCCATCAATTTCACCAGTGGCTATAGTGGGAAACAACCAGTTTGGCAGTTGAATAGTATTGTGCCGCGCAAGACAAACTCAAACAGCCTACAGCAGAATCATGGCATATGCTTGGGCTGCCGTCACCGTCTAGCTGCATGGGTCGATCCTTGAAGTTCCAGAGGTCGGATCGGAGATCCGCCCTTTTTCGGTTTGATTTTCAGGAACAAGAAGCATCAAGAAGCTACTAGGAGCAAAGGGCATCGCTACTAGGAGCAAGGACGCTATTAGGGAACAAACGAAACGCGGTCCCGACCCGTGAGGTATTTGGGGAAAGGCGTCGTGACCTGAGAGCGAACGTGCAGTCGGACGATTCTGAACGCCTCGACAAGGCGGTCTCCAACAATCTCTGTTTAAAGCACGGCATATTGGAAGGGTTCCATAGCTCAACCCTGAATAGGAACTTCAGTAAGCATTTGTACTGTAACCAAATCTCCTTGGAACATCAGGCACGCTGGAGGAATTGAACCTCATCCTTTAGGCTTTTTGCACTAGTTTGTGGATCATGCAGCCTTCACATCCGCACCAACAAGTCGCAAGGAAAACGTCCAATCAGAGGACACCTGCCTGCCAAACATGAGATTTGTCTTAAACATGTCGTGCGCAAGACATCGACTGACTGGCAGTGCCGCGACGACGGTTGAGAGCGAAAAGATTTGCAGAGGTACACCTACAGTCGCTGCCAGTACATCCTAGGGCCCTAGGGAATCCTGAGAGAGAGAGGGACCCAGAGAAGCTAATTTGACCTTTGGATGTTCCGCCACGCTGCTTTGCTGTTGGCTTTGCGGTCTGATGCGAACGAGGTGTTAACGGCCGTGAAGAATGTGAACGAGGTGATCGCCCCGAAGTTCTTCGGAAAGAGCGTCCTGGAACAGGCAAGGTGCAAGCTGACAAGCTGACAAATGTTTTGAGGTTTGCACACAGGTTGCCAGGTCTTTTTGAACATTTTGGACAACGACGGAAAAGGATGAAACTCGAGGCCGAGTCAAAACAGCTTGTTGGCCCTTTGAAGCTTACGACAATGCGTGAAAGATGGATGGGTCAAGAATATCTCAGGGTCCAACATGACACAAGAAGACACGCAATTTCCGATGATTAGAATTGTAACCACTTTCAGATTCTGCCAGTTCCATAGTAGGTGACCCTCCCACATCAGCCCGCTTCCAGGCCGAACTAGACAAGATGATGTATGAGGAGAGCGCTTATTGCTTGACCGAATTTTCCAGCCGGACATGTTTTACTCAATGGAGCTGGGGATGCAGGTTTGTGAGTACTGACAAAAACCGGGATTATTCTTGGTGCTGCCTGTTGTCTGCTGCCAGACAAATAGACTGCCACATTATGCCTGCTCATGTGTGTTTGGCATATATAATAACACGACTGGGGTTTGATCGGTTTCACCACCACTGTCCTGAATACTTGCCGGCATTTGTCGCTGTACCCATCTAACTTACATCATCGGTGCAAAATTCGAACCCGCTTACTATCATGTTCACTCTTGCTGGTTGTTTGCAAACATCAAACATATTGCTCACCCACGCTGCCCCAGTTGTGGAATTTGACACACATTGAGAGACAAGGGACGGAAGCTTAGAAAAACTCAAGACACCAAAAGAATCTGACAGGCCTATGAACCCTTCCAACCTTTTCTCATTTTGTTTCGTTTGTTTGAAACGCTAAAGTTCCCCTCATCGTACTTGGTTTTGTCTGCCCACGGTGACGGTTCGGGATATCGCAAATCTGAATGCATGTGGATCCAGTCATCACATCCTCACATCATCGCGGCTCATCGGCGTGCACCCGGGGAAAGGGGAGAGAGGCGAACTGAGGACGGGAGGAGAAATCCGCGAGAAAGGGAAGGGGAGAGATTGCAGAAGAGAGGAAAGAAGACACGTTCATTCTTGTGTGGGTTATTTGGAGCGTCATTGTCATAGGGGGTTGCCGGTGTGTGGTGCAGAAAGCTTTACCCACGCTCCGGCATTCTTGCCGTGCCATAGGGATTTTCTTTCTGACATGCTTTCTGAACAGTGTTCCAAGCAACAGTGTCCAGCAATCGTCAAAGCAATGCAACGCAGAAGTGGCTCTGAGGACGATTGCTAACATCAAACTGTAACGGTGCAAAGAACACTCCAATCTTGAAGGTTGTGTGCAGAGGTCGGCTGTATGGCTAATCATTAGGTCGAGAACGGAACGGTTCACCTTTGTGAACGACGCAAGAAGTACCATTCGACTCTTGGCTACGCCTCTGGACTTGATGCAAAATGGCACCGCGTCAGTCCGGTTTTCGAACATCCACTTTAGCACACGCTACTCTTGCGCAAGTCGTGGATATTCTTACCTTTGACATCCTTTGACGCTCCAAAAAGGAATCAAGCTGCAGTGCTTGCTTTTTCTCCGTTGGGACCACGCTCCTCTTGCACTCAGTGCTCTTTGTGAGTGCGTCGTCTTTTCAGTTTGTGAACCGCTTCCGTTGAATTGAAAAACTGTTGGCACGTTTTCAGGAGATGGATGGATCTCAGAACGAGTGGGGGTGGAGCAAAGCTAAGCTAGGCTAGGCCTGGTTGCTTCGATGTAGAGACGAGTCTTTGGGTATCGTGGCTTGAGAATACAATGAAGGCAGGAGCCCCATAGTAGCGTCCTTGCTCCTAGTAGCGATGCCAGGAGCCCCTAGTAGCGTCCTTGCTCCTAGTACGATGCCCTTGTTCCTAGTAGCTTCTTGTTGGCCATGGCCAACTCCAACAGTGGATTCAAATTTTGCTACTTTGTCACCCTGCCAGGCGCCAATGCAATTTTGGCTGCAGCTGGCCTGCTTTAGCCGACTAGTTTTATCAGTCGAACTACCTAGCACGTTTTACACTTTTATACTTTCAGTATGTGAATGAACCGTCAACCTCCTTCCGAAGTCTAAAGCTTCCAAAGTCCCAGGATCCAAAGCGACTGAGCCGATCGAAGGTTTTTGGGCAGCCCCGTTCCGTATACTTTTGAGGTTAGTATGGCCATTTGCCGTGCAGCAGCTGCGTGCAAGAATCAGACGCTGCTGGGCCGGATTGTGGGTTGTGCGTCGTTCTTTTGGGTCAGAACCGATGGGGTTGTCTGATACAAACAATGGCTATTATATACATATATATGCTACAGCTACAGTATTATAGTATAGTCCAACTACCATATTAACCTGACCCAATGTTCAGGATGTCCTTTCTTTGAGAATTGAATAGCTGCCAGCTGATTCGCTGGATTTATCCTGAGGCTCTACCAGCGTGTTGCGGAGCTGGCTGGGAAACCGACGGACAAGTTCGTGCTGCCCGTGCCTGCTTTCAACGCGTCTGGCTTGAGCTAAGAATCACTGAGATTGGAAAAGCAAAATCGGTCAGTTGCATGAGGTCACCCTAGTAGTAACAAGTGCATCGCTACTAGTAACAAGTGCCTTACTAGTAGAAACAAGAAGCTAAGTGCCTTACTAGTAGTGATGCCATGAGAACTAGGGTCAGTTGCCTTGAGATGTCTTGGGTCCGGCTTCTGCAGGCCCAAGCTCCAACCTGGAAGTGACAGAAGCTTTTATCACTTGGCTGGACTATCTAAGGTCATCAACGGCGGTAGCCATGCTGGCAATGGGCTTCCTGTCCAGGACCCGAACACACGAACGGCAGACCTTTGTCAGGTTAGTGGTAAAGTAATGAAAAGTCCTCTACTGTAGGAATTTGATTGCAGATCATATCCAAGCCGAAGGACTGCAGCGAGCTTTGTGGGCTCTTTTCTCAGGAGTTCATGATCCTTCCAGTTGGCGCCTCCAGCTTTCGGGAAGCCCTGCAGATCGGTGCTGAGGCTGGGGACAAAACTATGATGTCAGCAGGCTGATGACAGCACCTTGGGAAAAGGACCCTCAAAAAGACCACATATGACTATCGCCCCGAATATAAAGAAGAGCACCTGATCCGTTTTGAATTCCGCGGCTGCTCGGCTCAGCGGTTGGACGCATGCCACACGAGTTCGAAGAGTGCTCGTGTGTGCTGTGTCTATCGGTGCGTCGGGTCGTGCACCTCCTTTACGCCGAGGAGGCGACTGGAGGCCTTCAGCGCAAGGAAATAGAACTACTCCGTGTGGTTCATTCCCAACTCCTGGACTTCTCGGAGGGAGGCGAGGCCGGTGCTGCCACACCGGCCCCTCCCGAGCTCCCGGTGGAGAGGGGAGCTGACTTGAGCAAGCGTGTCAAGGAGGAGCCCGACACCGAGCCGAAGAGGACCAAGCCCGGAGAAGGGGCAGCCCCCGTTGTGGACGCTTCAGAGGAAAGAGAGAACAGCCCAGGTGCCCCCAAAGCCGAAGAGGAGAGCAAGGAGAGAGCAACTAAGGAGATTGACGGAGAAGCCACCACAGAGGATAAGAAGGAGAAGCCCGCAACCGACCTTTCTCCTGGACAATCACGGAAGGAGAAGAAACGTGATAGACGAGATTCAGCCGACAGAGATCGACGTCGCCATAGCCGCAAGGAGAAGGAGACCCGAGAGTCAGAGGGAGCAGACCAATGCTCCCGTAGCCGCCACCGCAGGCGCCGGAGGAGATCGAGCAAGCCAGCCAGCCCAAGTCCGAGCAGGGTTGAGGGTCACTCCCCATCCCATAGTGTGCCCCGCTCGAACTCGAACTCGAACTCGAACTCGAACTGAAACAGTTATACAGTATTGATGAACTTAACCTTGAAAGGATATATGGAAGGAACCGAACTCGAACTCGATCTCGAACTCGAACTGGAACTGTTAGAAGTCAACCCAGTGGACGAATAGAAAGAGTCGAACTCCAAAATCGCTGTCGTCGATTCGATTCGAACTCGAACTCGAACTGGTCCCCCCCCTCCGGGCATTGGCATCAAAATTGTCGTCGATTGGAACTCGAATTCGAACTCGAACTTGAACTGGTTCCCTCCCCCCGGGGAAAAAAATGGTCGTCGATTCGAAATTCGATCTCGAACTCGAACTGCGTTTCCCCCCCTCCGGGCGTCAAAATTGTCGTCGATTGGAATTCGAACTCGAACTCGAACTGGTTCCCCCCACGGGGTGTAAAAATTATCGTCGATTCGAACTAATGCTGCGTTGTAATGGCTCCTTCCTATTCTAAATTTCACCTTCGAATGGCCCACAACAGGAATGCTACGTTGTAATATAATGGCTCCTTCCGGCTGTAAATTTTACCCTCGGGTGGCCCACAAAAGGCATGCTACGTTGCAATGGCTTCTTCCTTTTCTAAATTTTACTTTCGAATGGCCCATCAAAGGAATGCTACGTTGTAAATCGTTGTAATGGCTCCTTCCTACTCTAAAATTTACCATCGGGTGGCTCACAAAAAGAAATTAAACGCTTCGTTGTAATGGCTCCTTCCTGCTCTAAATTTTACCCTCGGGTGGCCCACAAAACGCACGCTACGTTGCAATGGCTGCTTCCTTTTCTAAATTTTACCCACGAAAGGAATGCTACGTTGCAATGGCTTTTTCCTACTCTAAACTGTATCTGTGGCCCACAAAAGGCATCCCACGTTGCAATGGGCTTCTTCCTATTCTAAATTTTACCCTCGGATGGCCCACAAAAGGGATGCTACGTTGTGG